TACGTAACTCTAAAATGGAGAAGCCCCAGCCATGGTCCCTGTTCCCAGTCAGTTCTGAGATGAAACATGGGAAGAGTTGGACTGTGTGACTGTCCTCGGTGTGGATTTGAGCAGTCTGACTTGTTAATACTATACTGGAAGTCAGGACAGCGGCAAGCAGGTCTTGGAATATAATACTATTTCCACAGTAAGTTGTTCATTTTTGTAGGAATCATAGCCAAGTTTGTTACCTTTTCTCTCGTGTTCTGTGCTTGATGTGGTGATAGATGTGTGCAAAAGAACTATGGAAAACATGGATTTACCATTCAACTTGTCATTAAATGTGTTTTTATGAAGTCAGCAGAAGTATGGGCATGTTATGTAAATACTATCCAATCAATATAGCCTTTGAACTTTTTTCAGAGTAGTTCACATAGCTATCGGGGGGGGAACTCTCTAATACCATGAACAGAGTTTTACATTCTGGTGAGATAAATATATGAGCTTGCCATATTGTCCACAAGGATATCAAATTGTATCAATGACCAGGTCAAACCACAACTCAGTCTAAACTCATTGGATTTGAGTTTATATACGTGCTTTGGTTGTGGTGCACATTTTCCTGGCAGTAAGTTCCACTGAAACCAGTTAAAGTTGCTTTCAAATCGATGTCCAAATACTGCAGTTTAGCAAGGTTGTGGGTTAGATGACAAGAAATGGGGTTTTTTTTTTTTTTACAAAACAGGTTTCCTTGAATCTGGAATTCAAGCTTTGAGATGATTCATTATTAGAAAGTAGTGAAGCATGCAATAAGGCGCTGAAACCAGATGAATTATTATGACACAATCAATATTACATATGGAAGCGGATGTTGGATTGTACAGAACAGACAAGGGTTAAGAAATGAAGAACTATAAATTTTTGCTATAATAGCAGTTCTCATTAGGTGGCATGGCTCACTCAGTAGGTCAGAAACAAAAGCTAAGTAATACCTTTTTATTAGGACCAACCCAAATATCACAAAACTGCATGCAAGCTGTAGATAAATACCCTCCACTCTCGAATCTACCTTGATATTTTGTTTTGGAGCTATGCTTTATATATGCTCCAAAAACTAGTAAAAGACTAGCAAAATGAAAACTATGGGAGATGAGTCATCTCTCTGTCCCCAGCAGAGTTTTCCAGCTCTTAATTAGGCTAATGGGTCTGGCCAAAGTAAGAACAAAAGGTTTAATATCACACACCATACTGTAATGTCAACCCATTGGCTCTGGTCCGATCTGGGGCAACAGAAAACAAATCTGTACCATCCTCTATATGACAGCCCTTCAAGTACTTGAAAATGGTTATCATATCACCTCTCAGTCATCTCCTCTCCAGGCTAAACATACCCAGCTCCTTCAACCTTTCCTCATAGCACTTGGTCTCCAGACCCCTCACCATCTTTGTTGTCCTCCTCTGGACATGTTCCAGCTTGTCTATATCCTTCTTACTCTAGTTGAGGTCTAACCAGAGTAGAGTAAAGTGATACCATCACTATACTTCTGTTGATACAGCCCAAAATGGCATTTGCCTTTTTAGCTACCACATCACACTGCTGACTCATGCTCAATGTATGGTCTACTAAGACCCATAGATCCTTTTCGCACATACAGCTGCTAAGACAAGTCTCCTTCCTCCTATAATTAGGATTGATTTTTCCTACCTAAATGCAGAACTTTACATTTATCCCCGTTGAAATACTGAGCTTTAGCTTTCCTAACTCTCTCTCTACAAGCAGTGCTTATTTGTTTATATTCATCCTTGGTTGTAAGGCCTTCCTTCCACTTCCTAAATGAGTCTTTTTTATTTCTCAAGTCTTTAGAAAACTTTTTATGGAGCCACCTTGGCTTCTTTTTTCCTTCTCATAGGAATCGTTTGTAATTGTGCCTTCATTACTTTGCTTTTAAGAAACTCCCATCCCTCTTGAACTCCCTTCTCCTTAAGTATTTCTGACCATGGGATTCTACTCAGCGTAACTTTACGTTTTTCAAAATTTGCTTTCCTGAAGTCCAGCCTATATGTCTGACTACATACAGCTTTTCTTTTCTCCAAGACTGTAAATTCTAAAAGTGCATGGTCACTACTACCCAGGGTGCCCACTACTTTCACTTCGTCAACCAGTACTTCCCTGTTGGTAAGAATCAAGTCCAAGATAGCAGGTCCTCTTGTTTCCCTCTCCACTTTCTGGAAAATGAAGTTGTCAGCAAGACAAGTCAGGAATTTATTGGACCTTTCTTATTTAGCAGAGTTGGACTTTCAACAGATATCCGGGTAATTGAAATCTCCCATGACCACCATGTCCTGTCTCTTTGAGAACTTTGTAATCTGTTCTAGGAGTGTCTCATCCAAATCCTCCACCTGGCTTGGTGGTCTATAGTAGACATCCACCATAATATCACTATTATTTGTTACTCCTTTTATTTTAACCCAGAGGATCTCAACTGGACTTTCATGCTCAGATTCATGTATTTCCTCACAAGTATATAACTCCTTTATATATAATGTGACTCCTCTGCCCTTCCTTATTTGTCTGTCCCTTTTAAATAAGTTGTACTCCTCAATCCTAATATTTTAATTGTGAGTGTCATCCCACCAATTTGTCAACAAGAATATTATGTGGAACCTTATCAAAAGCCTTACTGAGGAAGAAGCTTTCTTTTGGCCAGGAAAGGTCAAGCCATGAATTACTAAGCTTTACCTAGGGACTCCATCTTGATTGCATATCAAGGAACAATAGAAGTCCCAACTCTGAAAACTAAGGTAATGAAGGACTATTAAATCCTGCAACTTCAAGATTTACTAGCCTGTCCTAATTAAATGTCATTTACAGTTTAGATTTAGAGGGCTGCATGTTTGCACCTTTTCTTTGTATCCTTGTTCAGCCTGATGCTTGAACATTCTATGCATTTATTAAACTTTCTTGCACTTTGAATGCTTTAAGCCTAATCTCTGTAAATACACCACACCAATCTGGTCTTGCTTTCCAAAGAGCAGTAAAGGGGAAGGGCAGCAGCAGAGCTTGCCATCCCTTGAACATTATAACTCCATGGCTGTGGTCACACGGCAAGCTAATTGCAATTTGTTCCCACTCTAAATTTGATCTGGAATATTTTTTTCTGGGTTGGGATGATCACACATCCCTCCCTGAACTGCAAGCATTGTGTGATGAGGCTTTGGGCACCGTCTAGATAGCGGCACGAGGGTTTTTAAAAATTTACTTTGCGCATATGCAAATGTACACGGCCGACTCGCCATACTCCCTTGTTTTTGCAGGGGCCCCCCAACAGCAAACAAATAATAAACGCCAGGCGGGTGGACCGCAGCCGATCCCTGTGTCTCTCTCCGCGACCCGCTCCATGCCATGTCCTGCTGCCTGACCAACCCCGGCTCAATGCTGCTGGCAATCTGGGTGCGCTCTGCTCCCCAGCACCAGGGGCTCCCTCCCTCCCAACGCCACAGCTTTGGGGACCTTGGGCAGGCTCTGCCACCCACTCGCCTGCCAGCCTGCCTGGCACTTTGTTCTTCACCCACCCGCCTCCCCCCCAGCATCTTTCCATGCCACCTCCTGGCCCGACACTACTGGGCAAGCTGGGCATGCTCTGCTCCCCAGCACCAGGGGCTCCCTCCCTCCCTCCTAACAAAATGAACCCACAACCAATGCTCCCTCTAAGCTGTGGAGTCTTGTGAGCAAAAATTCTATTTTGTGAGCTACTAGCAGTAAAGTCGTGAGCAGGCGATTTGGCTGCTGCATAAATCAGTTTGCTTGGGAGCCCTCCTACCTGAGCAGAGATGAAAATGTGTGAGCTTGAAGCTAAAAAACTGTGAGCTGGCTCACACTGACCCAGCTAAGAGGGAACACTGCCCACAACATACTACCAAGTGCTGGATGTGTGCTTGAATGTTTAAATATTGAATTGCACATGCGCTCAAAGCCAGAAGCTTGGGAAAAAACCCTCTCCGCCACCCGCTTGCCTCCCCCCCCAGCAACCTTCCATGCCGCGTCCTGCTGCCCGACCAGCCCTGGCCCGACGCTGCTGGCAAGCTGGGCGCGCTCTGCTCCCCGGCTCTGGGGGCTCCCTCCCTCCCTCTTAACGCCGCAGCTTCGGGGACTCCATGGGCAGGCTCCGCCAGGCGGGTAGAATGCAGCCGATCCCTGTGTCTCTCTCCGCGACCCGCTCCATGCCATGTCCTGCTGCCTGACCAACCCCGGCTCAATGCTGCTGGCAATCTGGGTGCGCTCTGCTCCCCAGCACCAGGGGCTCCCTCCCTCCCAATGCCACAGCTTTGGGGACCATGGACAGGTTCCGCCACCCACTCACCTGCCAGCCCACCCGGCACTTCCTTCTCCACCCACCCACCTCCCCCCAGCAACTTTCCACGCTACTTCCTGGCCCAACACTACTGGTAAACTGGGATTACTCTGCTCCCGGGCATCAGGGGCTCCCTCCCTCTCTCCTAACAAAATGAACCCACAATGTACTACCAAGTGCTGGATGTGCACTTGAATGTTATTGCTCATGTGCTCAAAGGCAGAAGCTTGGGGAGGGACCTCATCACACGAAGAACGGTCAGACGACCCTAAGCACAATCATTGCGAGAGATGGCTGTCCAGATTGGCCAAATCACAGATTCAAAGCGCAAATACCCGGAAAGTACTTGATTTTCCCGGTGCAAGAAAACATGGGAGAGAACCGGGAGCATTGCAGGAGTGAGCCCGCTTCGGCACGGGAGGCAGATCAGCCCATCTGGTCAGCTATTTTAAAAGTGGGAGGAAACAGCAGTGAAACCCGATCAAAATGACCGTGTGACCACAGCCCATATTACAAAGGTACAATTCATTGTCCCTACACTAGCTAGCATGAGCAAAGTGGGAGATGTGGCAACTATGTATAGAGTTACTAGATTTGCTAGATTTACAAATCAGGCTTATTTTTCAGCCTGGAATCTTTTTTTTTGGGGGGGGGTGTTCTGCCTTGATTGTATGCTGTGTCAGTATTTAGTGCACAACTCTTTGTAGGCCCATGGGCACTTCACATTAATGGTATATTGCTCTGAGGGCAGTTCATGCAAAGGTGTGCAGCTTTGTACATATTGTTTTACAGTTAAGGCTCAACTGCCTTTATCTATTAGAAGAAAACTCTGCTAATAAAATTGGGCATTTGGTGTCTTTGCTGATAAATTTCCACGCAGCCTTCAGAGACCACTAAAAAAAGTGTATGTGTACACGTCCCTTTGTTCTTAACGCTTTTATGACTGACATGATTTCTAATAACAGAAATGCTTGATCACTCTCCAGTCTGACTTTGTTTGCTGTTAGGGTTGCCAAGTCGGTTGTTGCGCCGCAGCGGGGGACTCCCGGCTGGCGTCTGGAGCTTGCTCGTGCGCATGAAGTGCACGCGCACCACACGCACATTACCCAGAAGTATCCGGGTTGACGCGCCCGTCTGGGTGGGGCTTCCCCCGGGGCCCAATCCGCCAGCGGCGGGGAACGGGCCTCTGGGGCGGGGGTTTCCCCGCCCCCTGGGGGGACTTGGCAAGCCTATTTGCTGTTCAGATATAGGCATTTTGCCCCAACATTTTACCCATGGAGAGATTCAAAGTGGGTCCTGGAATCCTTTGCACATTTTCCAACACCTCTGATTTCAAGTGAAAATAAATGAAATACTGGGAGATTTCGCAAATATTTGAATGTAAAATCTCTCCTTAACCAGTAAGATTAAGCCTTCTTTAAAGCTATTGAACTGATTTAAGGGGGGAAACCTCAGGACCGTCTAATTTATGGGCTTTGGGGGTGAAAGGTGCATCAGTCAGTAGTAATAATTTTGTTTTCCTGTAGTCACAACAGCAGTTTAAAGCTGATCTGTCCAGATTACCTTTACCTTCCTTATTCCTCCCAGAAATCACCTGCTAAGAAGTTAACGAATGCACTTAGCAAGTCTTTAAGCTGTGCTTCCAGCCGTGAACCTTTGCACCCAATGTTTCCAGACCAGCCTGAAAAACCTCTAAACTTGGCTCATATTGTGTAAGTATCTAGGCACTAAAGATATAAAAAGCCTTTGATCTAGCTGACTTACTATTTGTCTTGGTTTAAGGGCAAATGGAAGAGGACATCTTCATACTGAATGTCATGATCAATCAACTGTTTCATGGCAGTTTTCAAGAAATGGTGCTTTGTATTCAGTGGTCCAATTGGCATCAATTTACCCACACATTGCTCATCTTTGCAATACTGAAAATGTGAGGAGATGTGGTTTTTAAAAAATAAAATAAAATAAAAGCTTGGAGAGCTTTACAGAAGTTTTTTTAAATTAATAGCTTTGTAATTTTAATAGCTATTTTAAATTGTGATTAAGTGATTGCTAGTTGAACAGGAGAAAAGAGGTAAACATGATTCAGGTATCTCTTGACCAGTGAAACCATATTCTAGAGACTGAGCCAAGTCAAAAGTGAGACTAAAAATTATTCTGCATTTCAGCACTTGACAGCAAATTTCAAAGTATTTATCTGACAAACTTGGAGAGATGTGTATTGGCTTTCTATTGCCTTTCTACATAATGATTTTTAAGAGTACATTAATTCACACAAAGGCAATACTTTTCTGCAGAAATTATGGTTTGAAAATTAATGCCCTGTGCTGCACAAAAGGGAGAACACAGGTGCTTTAAATTGCTGTGTTTAATTTTGTAACTGGTTCATAAGCAATACCTTGATTTTCCATACATGAACACTCACTTTTTGATGTGACGAACAGCTGATGATCAGGAATACAATATGAAAATAGACAGGAGGACTAAGGGCATGTCTAAATGTTGGCAGAATTATGAATTTGGGGCAGGTGACTGGTATACTGCTAATTCAGCATGCAGATATCAGCAAGGCAGAAACTGACTACACCATACCTATACTAAATCACCGTTATCTGAAGCCTGCAAGCAGAATCATCATACAATTAGAACACTAGCTGGTAGACTTCCCCATTTCTGGTCCATGTAAGCTCAAACAACAGTTGTATCTTGAATCTTCTATGATGTGCATCCTATTCAATATTTGTTTGACCATATAATCCTTGAGAGAGCTGATGCTGAGAAATTCACAGAAGAGCAGAGCTGCAAGTATATGTTATTTTGTTGTTGGGGTCTCAGAAATGTTCAGCATATATTGTATTTGTATTGTTGGAACCTGCTCTGAGCCTGCTTGCGGGGAGGGCGGGATATGTCCAAATAAATAAATAAATAAATAAATAAATAAATTTCACATCTTCTGAAAGCAGATCTGCACAGGGGAAAATTGTCCAGAGGACAAATCTTCTCCAGGTTTTTCCAAGTAGTCACATGTGGATTCAGAGTTAAGAGTAAAAACACAGATAGTTGAGTTGGTACGCTTGAAAAATCTGAACAGGAACTATAAGACAATACCTTTATTAGCTAAGAGTGTGAAAGTTTTGGGTAACACAAGTGGTAATCCTTTGTCTGGATTACCACTTCAGAGTAAAGGTGGAGGCTTGTATGATTGGCAGTTCTTTTATACAAAACATACATGTAATCCAGATAGAAAACTAGATGTCAGGGAGAAGACTAACCTAGAACACTTCTCCTAGCAGGTGGGTTTCTTTTGTGCAGAGAAATACATTATGAAGAAACAATCCATAATCTTACCTGTCATTGGAAATGGTAATGAACAGCCATAGCTTTACCACCTTAATGAGAACTGAGCCTCTGAGAAGTAAGCAGGTTCTCCCATGAGCCACTGGAGTATGAGTCAAGAACTAGTTTACCACCCAAGCAGCCCAAGCAGCTGTGTGGGGCGGCAGGCCAGGAAAAATTAGTGATGTAGAAAGAGGTTATGCACATAGCTTGTTCCTGTCACTGTGTTCTGAATCTCTGCCACTTCTACAGTGGTGCAAGGCAGGCTGCAAAGGTACTACCTCCGCAAGTCACATTGGAACCAACTAGGGTGGCAAACGAGATGGATGCTAGAGGCATGAAAATATCTTGAGCTGACCTTGATATGAATGGGTCATAGATGATTAGCATTCACAACATTTTTCATGTACTCAGTCATCAATCCAAGTTGTTTTGGAGATATATAAACTTCCCAGTAATCAGATGTTTGGATAGGAACTCTCTGACAGGAACAATTTCCAGTGTGTCCAAAAAACAATTGGGTTTAGTTAATGGGTTTTCTACTATAACCATTCGCATTATGTAAATGGATTAAAGTGCAGATATCCACTACAAGGATTTATTTTCATGTTCTATGTTTCATTTACCTTAAGTCATTTTTTCTTATATATGAGTGATCATTCTGTATTTACACGTGTCATTGTCATATGTTTTATGTCATATTGTAATTAGAGGGAATATTGTGTTACATAATGATTGTCTATGGTTGGCTGCACTGTTGGAAGTCACTTAGCCTGCTTTGACATGAAGGATCTTACACAGATATTAAATACTGTGCTGTGATTACTAAGTGACATCATTCTAAAGAAGTGAGCTGTCATTACAAGCCTGATCAGTGTGTTGCACTAGTAATAAGCAAAAAGTCTATTATGAAAATATTAGAAGCTACAATGAAGACTTGAAATTACCAATTTGTTTAACCTTAACAAATAGCTTTTTCAAAACAGTATCTCATTTCGTGAATCATTTTGAAACTGAATTTCAAAAATTAGCTTGAAATTTTAGACCTCAGATTGTTTGGCTTGTTAGAAACCAAAACAGTGTAAAGAAATGACTAGTCAGTCAACTGCATTGTGAGAACTGTCCCATTACGCCTGGTTTCTGCTGCCTGTTTTAACCATTATTAATGTACATGTGGATCTGTCCTCTTATGCCGTAACTGCAAAGTTACTCAGAAAGTTAAGGTTTTTAAAGACAGTGATTATCTCCTCAAAAAGCCCATTTCACACAGACACAGCTACAGTTCTAAAAACAGGCTCTGAGGCCATCTTAAATGAGGGAAGAGCCAGTAGGTGGCAGCCTGGAGATTGTAGTTGGCAAACTCGTGCATGTGAGGAGACAATTCTTTAGATGTTTCAGTCCCAGGCCATGAAGAGATCATCCTATCTCTAATAAACATTTCCATTAATTTACCTGGAACAGAGGTTAGGCTCTCTGTCCTGCAGTTTTCTGGATCTCCCCTAAAATCCCTTTTTAAAAATTGGTGTAACATTTGCTACTTTCAAGTCCTCTGATAAGAAGTCTGATTTGGTGACAAGTTGCACATTATTTTTAGAAAGTAAGAAAGTTCTTTATATACCACATGGACCCAGGGCTTTTTTGGTAGAAAAAGCCAAGCAGGAACTCATTAGCATAATAGGCCACACCCAACAGCAGAAATTCCTTAGCGTATTAGGTCACACCCCTGACAGCACAGCTCATTAGCATATTAGGCCACACACCCCATGTTTGCAGAAGTGTGGTCATCCAGACACACCAACCTTTTGCTTTTTATTCTGTTTACCTTGTTTGTTGTCATAACCCAGGTCTTTTTTGTACCAGGAACTCCTTTGCATGTTAGGCCACCCACCCCTAATGTAGCCAGTCCTAATGAGTTTCTGCTGTTGGGTGTGGCCTATTATGCTAATGAGTTCCTGCTGGGTGTGGCCAACTCAGGAGCCAGCCGGAACTCTGTTCCTGTGCGTTCCTGCCTAAAAATAGCCCTGCATGGACCCGATGACTTTTTTTTTGTTTATCAGTTAGCAGACCTAGATCTTCACATCTATGAGATTCAGTTCTTCAGATGCCCTTCCCAGAAATAGTGGTTCTGGGGTGTGTAACTACCCCACATATCCTACAGTGAAGACCAGTACAAAGCATTTGTTCAACTGGTCTTCAGTCTCCTTATCTTCCTTTAGTAATCTTTTTAACTCCCTTGTCTCGTGGCCGGACAATGTCCCTGACTGTTTTTCTGCCTCCAGTGTATTTATTCTGATGTTTACTTGGAAATATGTGTGCACAGGATGGCAGCCTTAATCATCACTGGTTTGGATCCAGTATGCTTGAGAAGCAGAAAATATACTGGGACGTGAAAAGGAATTACACTTTGTTCTTACAAGGGTATCAAAAATCAGTAATTTGATCTATTCTGGCCCTAGGACAGGGGTGGCCAAACTTGCTTAACGTAAGAGCCACATAGAATAAACATCAGATGTTTGAGAGCCGCAAGACATGAACAAATATTACACGTTTTTATTGGGAAATATGCAAATTTGCTTTTTATTAACATTAAATGAGACTGCCAAAAATAACAACAAAAGTGGTAAAAGCAGATATTGATAATGATATTTATTCGTCCAGTGATATTTGTATGCTAATGATATTTAGCTTCCCCAGCTGCCCTGTTGGGAGCTGCACAATATGTGTGAAAGAGCCGCATGCGGCTCCCGAGCCACAGTTTGGCCACCGCTGTGCTAGGATATTTCTCCTTTTTTAAAGAGCAATTCCATGTGCCTGGAAATGACAGTAAAACTTATTTTATTTTTATTTTTCCTAGTATGGAAATTGAAAATTGTATTTAAATATAATTAAACCAAAATAAAAATGCACAAGTTTTGGAAGAGCATCATATACTTTGCAACTAACAAATTTACAGAGGGGAAAAGATTGCTGCATGAAATCTTGGAGAATGTCTTCTTATCAGAGTAACTTTTACTCTTAAATATAATGGAAGATTGAGCGTATCATGATAACAGCTCTAAACAAGCATTGAAGCAAAGGGGAATTTACAGCCACTTCGATGGTAGCGTTCATGTAATCAACCCCCCTCCTCGCTCTTACTACCAGTAGGGACAAAAATCCTTTGTGTAACTATGCCTGAATTTATATTAGCATTATACACTGTTTTTAAACATGGTATTTATCTGTATATGAGTTCCTGCTAGCATAGTTGTTGCACTTTGTAATAAATGTTATGTTCAAAAATTGTTACATTTAGCACTATAAATGATATAAGGATACAAAGTGGTTTTACCTTCCTGTTTTAAATCAGCAGAATATGCTAGCTCAAATCCTAAAAGAATAATGGCTTGAAAAAGTATTCCCTTGATAATTTGCATTCTTATTTTTAAACCTTTGCAAACTGATATTACTTCCTTTGCTGCATCTACCAGCACTTTTGAGGCAGAAATGCAGAGCACTCTCCCAAAAGAGGCAAATTATGCTTTAAATACTACAATTGATAATCTACAGAGTATTTGTAAAGATTTATTAATAGCAATCCATAGCCCTTTACAGTAAATTTTCTGTAATTCAAGTTTAATCAGTAGACATGTTTATTAAATCATTTGTCACCTATTGATCTTCTTAATTATTTTTCTTTGAACGAACTCCCAGGCTTTAGCACCAGAGTTTCAAATGCAGTTCATTGTGCAGCATAACTTTCTGAGTGCTCAAGGCACTTTGACATACAATGTAGTGGAAAGGCAGGGCACTGGTTAAAGGAACACCAAACCAGATGCCTGATGCAAGGAACCCAGTTGAACCATGGTTCTTGAAATCCTCACCTGTGTATTATTTTGTAATAGAGATTTATTGTATACCTTTTCACATTCATGCCTCAGCCTCTGGTTTCTAGTTTTTGTAACAAATATTGGTGGCTTTCTATTCATATACAGAACTGGAAAATCGCCATCTATTATTAACAAATGTACTAAGTTATTTAAAACAAAATTTCATGCTACACGCATATGGAATCCTGTGTGATACCAATTTGTCAGTGGTTTCCTTGATGTGAATCAGCCAGCAATGATGACAGTGTAATTATTATTACCATACAGAGGTAGACGAACACATCCATAACCATTTACGTCAAGCCACAATAGCACTGTTTTACTAAGTGCTTGCCTTAACAATGAAATATGTTGTATTTCTCTACCTATGGCACCTTTTTAAAGGAAATATTTAATCTTAATGATTTTTTTTTTTGCTGCAAAAGAGATACCTGGTAAGTTATCTTTCAGTATGCTTTAGATGAAGGGAACAGACTTTGTAATTATTAGACTGTTGAATATAAGAGGTCTTCATAAGAACCTTTGAGCATGACTTCCATTTAGTTATATCATTTTTCAAAGCTACTTTTTCCCTTCTTTCAGCCTTCTTTTTGAACAGGTTGTATCACCTGGAGAAGAGGGAGAAGGGGGTGCACAGTCTTGCTGGACACCTCTCCCTCCTTATCCAGCTGCCAATTAACAGTATTTTAAGCTTTAGCAATCTCACAATTCCCATAGATCTGCTTTGTAAGCGGTCCTGAGACTGCATCCTTCAAACTGCATCACATTTATATTGCTGTTCGCTGGGTGTGGGGATTTCCCCCTTCCTAGCACTGGCTTTTGCACATGGCGTTGTTAGTCAACATATGGAAATCTGTTTCTGTACATAAATTGCATTCTCTGGAATAGAGCATTTGACATTATAGTGTTATACTAAATCTGTTCAGCTTGTGGATGTTAGTTGTCATAGGGCCAAAGTAATACCAGACCTGAGCAGTGGCTTCTGAATTGTGCCTGCTTCCTACACCATTTTAGAACATGTGTCATTCAGCCATATGGGAGAGCTTAGTTAGTCTCTCTGAAGAGCACTTCAGAAACACTACCTAGGCCTTAATGGCAAAAAATGTAGTATTGGGTTTCTGCCCCAACTTCCCAGAATTCCTATATTAACCTGTACATTCTAAACTACTTCTGAGATGAATGAGAGAAGTATACATAAAAGAATTAATAACTTGTTATGTTTTTATCTACTGTCCCAGTGGTTTTACGTCTGTTCATTTGCTATATAGAAAAACCTGACCTTCCTCATGAAAAACATAATGAGAATATCTCTTGAAATTCTTGCATGAGGAATATAATGCAGCATGAATTTGTAAATATTTATTCTTGATCAACACTTTCTCAAAAAATGCAGATTGCAGACAAATCTGTTGGCATCTGTTGCATGTGTCTCAGTCAGCTTTGTGTCAGTCTTGTACATTCCTAGCCTTATGTTGCTGTTTCGGGGGAAAAGGGCAGAGAGGAAGCTGACTAGATGAGAGAACCATGCATCTCCAATTTGCTATTATGTACATTCCTGTTTCGTTTTGTTTTTCCCATTTGTAAACATGGCGGACTGATGATTCATATTACCAAGCAGCACCTATATTGTGGTGGCTGCTTTAAGTTCAAATTCTTTGATGCTGTGAATGTAGAGCTATTTGTGTGAACACATTATGGTGTGGTTCCTCTGACATTTACTATGCTATGACCAGCTTATAGGGGGAGGCAGTTTGCTGTGGCATAGTGAACATATAAGTTTCTGCGTAACATGGAGCTGTTACACCCCACACAGAAGCAGCCTCCATGCAATTATGTTTTTAAAGAAGCTACCACATAGCCATTTGAAATCACCTGAGGTATAGCAATTTCAGAAGAAAACCTGGCTTTTCAAAAAGGGACAGTATTCCTTTAGAGGATCTGTGGAAACTCAAATAACAAGAAATCAGTGAGGTATGCAAATAATTTAAAGACTGTTAGAAGCTCTCTGTATTAATTGTATTTTATAGAGCATTTCAGTAGTCTTTGTGAAAATGCAGAACAGTCAATCATTTTTCTGGAGCAAGTAAAGGGAGCAAATAAATTGCATGCAGGATATGTCAGAATGTAAAAAAGGGATGTTTTTCTAACACTCACTCATGCTAATCCATAAATTTAGATTTATAGTTGAAAAGCTGAAGGACGATACATTTCTATAGACTGAAATTGTGTGTGAGCATGCACATGCGCAGATGCTGTCTTTCATGCTTTGGTTCATGCTTCCATCATTATACAAACCACTTATTTTATCTTCTTTCAAGGCCTCCCAGACCAGTCACCAGCATGAATGATACACTGTTCTCCCATTCTGTTCCCTCAGGAAGCCCTTTTACAAACAGAAGGTGAGTATTTATTCTGATACCTTTTGAGATACAATAATTAAACTTCTGCTTATGTTTTCATTTCAAAGTTCATGCAGTCAAACAGTCGAAAACCAGTATAGAAATGCCTTTAAATGTGTTTGGATTGAATTTTCATTGTTTAAAGTTGGACTCCATTTTTTAAAATCTGGGAACCTGAGCAAAAGCATAGAGTTGCTTGCTTAGGTGCCTGTGTTCTGCCTTCTAAACACCCAGAACCAACTCAGGTAACCTCTGGCCATATGCCTATCATATGCAGTATGTCAAGATGCAACCCATATCAATTTAACTTTGAATACTGAAACATCTACAATGTACTTCAAGAACACCTAAAAACAAAAGCTAGTATTTAAATACCAAGAAGCAAATGTGGGCAAATGGAACAAATGTTCCTAGTATGTACGAAGGAGTTCCTAAGTATATGTGGCCAACTAGAATTAAGAACTGAGCTATATTGTGAAGCCAAACTGGTGGAGCTATTGTACTAATATGCCATTTCAGTAAATTATAATCAATCATTCACAAGAACAGAAAAGCCTGTGCTGGATCAGACCCAGAAGTCTATCCATGTGATCTAGCATTCAACTGTGGCCCTTAAGCTGTTTTTAGAAAAATTTCTCAAGGAGGACAAGAAGGTACCAGTCTCTCATTGTTTGCCCCCAGAAGCTACTATTCAGAGTTATATTACTTCTGAGGATGGAGAGTTCCATTAGTTATCATTAGTTAATCATTGTGAGTAATAGCCATGGATAAGTCTTTCCTTCCATGAATTTGTCTAGCCCTTTTTGAAAGCCACCTAAGCTGATGTTATGTTAGTTCATCTGATGACTATGAATTCTCTTTATTATAATGCACTCTATGAAGCTGTAAAAGTTACAAGCCCTCTGTACCTATAACATTGCTTGTCTCGCACTTATGGTTCCAGCAAGAAATCTTAATGTCTGTGCAAGTGAAGCCCATTGTCTATTGCAGACACTGTGATATGTTTGCACTGTGAGAGTAGGAAGGAGTTGCATACCCACCCAGCCAGAATCACATTCTTTCCACTGCACTGAAATGATCAAGTTGGATCAAAGGAAACATGAGTGGAAGGAAAATAGCAGCTAGTGATGTCCCTCATAAATTTGTTCAACAGTTTTCACAAGAGTTCACAGAGTGTAACAGTTCTGATGCTGTTGCTTGTGCCAGAGGTTGCCCAAGCTTTTGGCAAGCAGAAGAATGACTTTGGATTCAGATTAACTTTTCTCTAGCATAAGACATATAACAGCCCTTCTGGAGTGCAAGGGATCTTCCTTGTGCAGAAGGGCACAGTTTGATCCAACCTATAATTCTCTGGTGTGTTGCCTTGGGAAGTAAGTCTTGTTTTATTCAATGGGCATTACTACCAACAAAGTGTTATTAGGATTGCAGCCTGTGAACCAAGTTAAAGTACCCTACAAATAAATACCCAGCATTTGCAGTATATTTTATTTGTTTGTCTGATTAAATATTCTGAAAAACATTTTGAGAATAAGCAAGATAAAATATTTTCTGTACTTCAGTGATTTTATTTATATACCACATTACAATATCATTATTCCCTCCTCCATTTTATCCTCACAACAGCCCTGTAAAACAAATTAGGATGAGAGAAAGTGACTGCCCCAAGGTGACCCCATGAGTTCCCATTGCAGAGTTGGGATCCAGCTAGAGTCTCCCAGATTGTAGTCTGACACATTAACCATTACACCAATGTCTGTAAAGAGATAAAGTAATGTAAGGTGTATCTGGTGTATATGCTCATGTTTCAAGATGCAAATGTGTGTTCACTGTGTTCCATTACTATGAATTGGGATGGCTGAAATCAAGACTTCTAAGGGCCAAGAAGGAAGTTCTGATGAATATTTGGATTCTGAAGCTTAACCCAAATCCAGAAATCTGCTTCAAGTGATCATTTGACTTAATTGTGTTTGTTTTTCTATCCCAATAAAATCCTGATGAAGTGGTTTGTGACTTGTTCTAATAATTTTACTTCCAGCCTCTGTTAACCTGAATTAAATTTAAATACACTGTTCCCATAAGCAACAACCTGCCTTCATAGGATGTGAATTAAACACTCTAGATTCACACTAACCTTATTCCCATGCAGGTTTAAATATTTTTTTAATTTATTTTTATTTATTTATTTACTTACTTTATATTCCACCTTTCTCATTGAGACTCAGGATGGATTACATGGTATAAAACAATGTAATCAAATAGCGAGAAAGATCTAATAAGCAATGCAGTTGGACTGGGATTACAAGAATTAGTAACCGCAAAAAATATCAGACAGGGTGTCAAGCGATGCAGAAAATGGAATTACAAAAGTAGAAAATGATGCATTAATAGCATGATAATATATATACTAAATAGATAATACAGCATACACAGTGGCACAGACTATATGCCTGTTCTTTTGATGTGCCTCCCTGGACCATTCTATTATACTATTCCCCTATTGCAGACTGTTAATGACGTTTCATTGTTTGAATTATCCAGGTTACTTGAGAGTATAAATGTAGCCAGTCCTGAGATTGATGAGCATTCTCTTATAAAGCTGTATGTAAATCAGCTTCACAAGAATTCACGGTCAGTATAAGAACACTAAACCACTAATTGATTTAGTTCTGTAGCTTATACACTAAAATCAGTCCATTAGTTTATTAGTCAGTCTGCAGAATTACTAATGATGGAGTTTTTTGGTGTTTGTAAGATAAAAATTAGGAGACTTTTGTGGTTTCCATGAGACTTCAAATGGATTTCATGCTGGCCTTGAACTTCCCTATCTTTTATCTTTCATTTTGCACATGACAAGTATTTAAAGGTACATTATATAGCAGTTTTTGCTCTTAGGCAGCATCCTGTGGATTTCTCATTTTAATGTATTTTCCCCAAAACACAGAAGACGGAAACACAGTCAGACGGGAGCCTTACACTGAAAACATGTTGATATCTGGTCCTGAGCAAAGCACAGCAACCCACACAAGAAGACTGCTGTGCCTCACTGGGAACACTCAAACCAGCTGCAGGGCAGGAAAACGCTGCATCCAGTTCTGTGCACATAGCACAGCTGTTGGTGACATGCCTCTGTGCCTTTGAGTAGAGCCTCTCCTGTTGCTAGTGATCAGATAGCAGACACATCAGGACTGGGGTAGGGGCCATCTGAACTCAGGGGTGCCCTGAGAGATTTCTGAGTGAAATCAGCACCTGTCTTCAAAAGACAGCAAAAGCGCTATTGGCTGCTACAAGTTGAGATGAAAACTGAAGAAGGAAAGCCCTGAGCTCTGACTAGGCTCACCTTTGCTTCCCTCTACTAGCTCTCCTTATCAGTTCAGTTGCAACATTTTAAATAGCTATTTAGCCGAATCAGATACGCAGTCTTCATATAGTGTATGTCTCATTCTGTAGGAGATATATGGCTACATATACTCTGAGTCTTATATACATTATAAAAATACAAAATTGTATAGCAATAAGCAAAAGGCATTAAACTATAATGTAAACATTTTACAAGGTTGTTGTCGGTGCAAGCAAACATTTTAAATTAGGAAATTTATAAATTCTGGTACCAAGCTAAGCAGTTAACATTGAAATGATTGAAACTACAATTCTGTGTTTTCTTGATTGTCCAACAGATTTGCTTGTGACTGCGAATTAGAAGGTAGCAATGCAAGAAGGTAGCAAAGCCATCACTTGTGTTATAGTGATGGTCTACTGAAGAAAAAACTGCATTTAACAAATTAACTGCACTTTACAAATTGAATGTCTTCATTGCACATTATGTATCTTGCCATTTGTTCACTCTGCATAACTCTAATGAAGCAGGCCAACTTTATTAGATTGGAAAGAGCAAAACCTGACAATAATTTCTCATTTGCTTCTATGAAATCTCACATAATGATTAATCTGTCTTATTGTGCCACTTTACTTTGTGTAATTATTTCCATCATAGAAACTCCGAGCACATACAAATGGTTCACATGTGCAGCAGTGTTGTTTGAGCATTCTCCACACAAATCCTGGGGCTTACACTTGCCTCTGTTTGTGTTGTAAAGCTTATGTTGTAAATAATAAGGCTTTCATGCCCTGCTTTTGAACCTCCTTGAAGCATCTAGGCTGGCTGCTGTTGAAAAAAACAACATGCTAGATTACATGGACTGTTTGTTCTGATCCAGCAAGATTCTCACATTCTTATCTAGTGATATAAACATTGCAGTAGTTCATATCCTCTCTTTTTTGAGATATTATGAGATACTGCATGTGTAAACTCTCTCTGCATAAAAATGGAATATATAGATTTTAATGTTTTATTATCCTACATTAAGTCAATCAACAAAGAGCATTTACACAAGTTAAATAAAGAATATTAGAGGTATACTTGTGAATGACTATTATCTGGTATATCTTGTACTTAAAACTCATCTGAAACTGAACTGAGGATATAAAATGAAATGTGAGATTTACATTCACATTTAATGTTCGATGCAATGTTTTTGGTCCAATGCAGATCTTCTCCTTGGGGTGTGACATTTTTGCTATACAGAAAAGAATTGGAAGTAGGAAAATTATGCAGTGTTCATGATGCAGATATTTGTGGCATCAGCCCAGAGCTTGTGAAAAACAAATACGGATTTTTGTATCACATGTTTTGATTATGGGTATCCCCCTCTCATGCCCTGCATTAAATCTTTGGGTTGCTGTTTGGTAACTGGCTATATAAAAGCTTGAACTTTCTCTCTAAATAGAAGCAATTAGGGGGTTAAGAAATGAAAATTATGGAAAAAAGCAAGATTGACCAGCTTGCCTAAATTATCCAGTTATTAGTCTGATCCTTTATAAGAAGTAATAGATGATGGCATACTCCTGGCCTTATTTGTCCAACAGAAAAGAATTGGAAGTAGGAAAATTATGCAGTGTTCATGATGCAGATATTTGTGGCATCAGCCCAGAGCTTGTGAAAAACAAATACGGATATGTCATTGGTGTGGAGAAGACATAACATTGTTACTTTTGGCCAATAAAAACTAAAATACTATGCCAAATCTATGCATATGTGGATTGGGATGTAAAGATGCCTAGGTGTACATACAACACACCTGTGTACACCGGGAGGGTTACCTATGTTCTGTACCCCATGCCAGAGACCTTAATCTTATGGAATGCTACTTGAGAGGTTTCCCCATTCTTTAGAGGCTGCTTTTTTCTTTAGGGAAAAGTGTGTCAAATAGCTAGATTGATGTACAGCATACCAGAGTTTGCTAAGAGTATAACACAGTGTACTATACACATTATTTTCTATCTTTGACAGGGGGAAGGAAACTACCGTGTTTTCTGAATAAAGGGACATTATGCCTCTTCTTCTGTTAGTGTACTTTGCTCCAAAGAACTGTAAAACTAACTCCTTGATTACAGGGAAGCTTTTTAATGTAAAAAAAGAGCCCCCATGTGGCAAACCTCTTTTAAAACTGGGATATTTCAAAACAAAGTCAGCTAGTCAAAGTGAAAATCAAATGTTCCACAAGGTTAGCACAAGCCTATTGAATGAACCTAAAAAGCTCTTTGAATTCCATCTTGTATGAATGGAAAGAAAAGAAACGATTGTGTGACATGTATCTGTCAGCATATTAATTAGCACAACGCCATGTTAGCCTCCATTTCTGATTATTAAAAGTGGAAGTGACTTATTCAGGACCTTGGATAGGGGACCATATTAGTTCTTATACTGCTTTCCTGCTAGCAGCCCTGTATCCTTGTTCCATTAAGATTCTAGCTATGTCCTTCATCTGAGTATACTAAAGCCCTTTCTTGTGGCATGTATGTGACTGAAGAATTCCTGTAAGCAATGCTAGTAGAACAGGGTAACTGGCAATCCAAAGAATATGGAACAGGTGGTGTTTTGTTTTGTTGCCTTCACAGGAATTAAATGCTGGATCTCCATATCATGGTATATAATGTTTCTCTTTGCATTTTTCTTCTATCAGTTAGTAGGAAGAGCAATAAAGACAAATTACTGATATATCATACTATGTACTCTACATATAGTTGAGTTACCCAAAGACATCCATGGTTAACCAACAAACACCAAATATCTTTTTCTGTTTAGAATTTAATGGAAAAAGTTTGAAATTTAGAATTCTTAAATGGGGAAGGTTTTTTTACATCACTACTAGAAAGAATAATACCAGGTTGTATTCATCTTTTGGCAATGGCTCTGTAGTTCTGGCTACAGCAGAACCTTTACAATTTAAAAGAAATTTACAAGAATTTATTGCAGATCTCTTGAAGCTCTGGAGACCATTTACTGGTTCAGGGGATTCTGGTACCATAATGGTACGATGACGTAATCACTCCACATTGTCCTAGGAGGTCTTATTCATGTCGCCTAAGTCTCTAGGTCCTAGAGTCTAGGACATACCAGGCTATAGTCATTTCATATATGGGCCTGGAGATGATGGAATATGTTCCAGAAGCAATAGGGGAAAGTCTTTATATATCCAGATTTTTTAAAATCCAGGTCTGTTGAAGCTTTTTTGGAGGAGGATGTGGTAGGAATGTGCATAAAGTTGAATTTCAGTTGTTATCGTTAATATTTTGATGTATTTTCTTAGTTGTTACACTTGTTCCAATTCATTATTATTTGAATTTGTTTAAATGGAAAACACATTTCCAGTTGCAACTTTTTGTTCGTTCTCTACCAATTGGGATGAAATTCACTGGAGCTGTACCCCTTTCCCCAGGGATCCTCCTTGCCAAATTTCAGAGAGATAGAAAAAAGCAGAGGTCACAACGAAGAGTGAATTGGTGTAAGAGTTTTTTCTTCACTCCTATAGGATTTGTGGTCTGTAGTTGAAGTTGGCGAAGGCAGCTAAGCCCTTGTTTGCTCCAACTTTTACCTCAGTGTGCTTGTTTGATTTCAGCATTTTTCTTCCAATCCAGTTTACCTACAGTATCAAAGCTTGGCCGGAAGAAAAATACTTCAGTCAGTGGAGTAGTGCATGGCAAGTGACAGGGTTTAGTTCCCATCAAACACTCGCTCCATTCTATATTGAAATACAGACCAGTCCTACACACCACTTCGTTTACAGCTGAAGAAGAGGTTGTTTAACTTTCTCCTATACTAGACCTTATATCAGCCCTGGGAGGGGAGGTATTGAGGTTAAAGTATAGGTACTTAGTGGTTTTACATGAAAATAAAGATGCAGAGATTTCTCAGATTCTAAATCAAAGATTCTTTCTGAAATAGAGAGATCAGATAATCAGAACTTTCTCATCCCTGATCTCTTGTTTAGCTTTGTGTGTGTGTTTTACTGTGCGGGGATAATTAAAGGCTTTGATTCTATCCTCCCATCTGCAAAGTAGCAAGCTTTCTGTTGTGGAAGAGGAACCTTAGCCTCTCTCCCTCCCATTCAGTATCATCTTACCTGCCTGCCTGATAGGTCAAGCAAAGTATTTGCTTTTGTCATCCACAGCAGGGATTGTCACTAGATGGAGGACAAATTGTGTGCCTCTGCACCTATCTCCTTCCAGCATGTAAAGACATTATGCTGCCCATTACTGGGGAAGCAAGCCTTGCCTTCTGCACCACCAGTCTTCACAGCCATGCTGCCTGCAAACAGTAGAAGCAACCTTTGCCTTGGCACCTGCTCAGTAACTATAGAACACTCACCCAAAGTCTGAGATAGTGCAATGATTTATTTTGAAGTGGAAACACTGTGCAGAAACTCTAGTCAGGATGATCCAATATGGTGCCCACATCAGCAAACTCTTCTGGATTATCATTGTCCCTGTCAGGTACATAGCTGATAAGTGATTCTTCCTTCTTTTCCCCTTGTTACCTCATGGAACTGAAATGTCATCTGCTAGGCAGTAGAGATTTAGCAGTCATCATCTATGTCATTAATATTCTTGTATGAATAACCCATAATAATTATGTTGACTGATGGGGATTGTTAAATTCATGTTTGATCTGAATGTAGACCTACTGAACTGAGTGGTTCTTCCCAACTATATGAACAAACCTTACTTATTTCATGGCAGCAGTTGGCTATATTGAAACCTTAATCAAATTAAGAGCATGAAAAGCAGATTAATGTGATACAGGTTTTAGAATTTTCTGATTAAATTACTTGTGTACGGTTCAGAATTTTTGAAATGAGTTTTGGTGGATTTCAGCCATCACAGTTTATTGTCTTCTTAGTTGTCCTGTCTCATTAACTAGCTCTCCTTACAAGAATAATGAAGTAGAGCAGAACAAATTGCTGGCTAGGGCTGCTCCGGCTTTTTTGAAAGGCAAAGGGTAAGTTAAAGAAAGTGCGCTGACAGCTTGCACTAACACAACTAAAGCAAATGGCTTTTTCCTTTGAATATACTGTGCAGTCAACAAAATGTATCATGCAAAATTTTAATTCCCCCTTAATTTACTCATCAACTGGCTGAAGAATAAGTTTAAAATAACATATAAAATAAATTAATAATTCTTGAGGTCTCAGAATGGCATCTTAAAATACATTTCTACATTTTGATGCAGTTTTGTGTATGCAAAGGTAACATTTTGTGCTTCAGTCCTACGGGTAAATCTGCACATGTAGATAGATAGTGGCATATAGATCCTATGGCAAGTGGGTGATCACATATTTGATCCTTAATAACAAAACCTCCTTGCCAAGAAAAACTAATATATCACTGAGAGGCATCTCACCTTGCTTTCTCCCTAGTGCACCAGTTTTCTACATGCATAGAATTTTTGACACAGGGAGCCCATTCAATCATGTGATTGATCTTCCATCTGCAGTCTCAAATGGTACTGCGTAACATGCAATTTATCTGCGTTTGTAGACTGACTAATGTCAATCAGATTTCAAATGAATTTACTTCCAAATCAGTATGCATAGGATGTCAGCCAAAGTAAGCAACTTCTGAAAGCTGTATTTTTTTTTTAAAAAAAACACCCTATGCTTCCTTATAGCATTAATACAAGGCCATATGCTGCATGGTCCTTGAGCATCTGTTTCCTTAGATCTTCTTAGGTGCTTTGTATCCTCCAGCAACCTAACTGTCCTGTCCTGCAAGCTCAGTTTCTTAATTACTCTGAGATGGAATTGATAAGAATTTCAGCATTTTTTTCTAAACAACATTTACTGCTCATTTATAAATTCCCATTTCACACTCTTACTTGCTCCTGCTTTCTCTGTTTATTTCTCTTTGTCTGTCCGGACTACACCCTTTTCCCCCCCAACCCTGTTTCAGGTTACAGTATAGCCTCGATGTTGCAGACAGGCTGGCTGATGAACATGTTCTCATTGGGTTGTATGTCAACATGCTCCAGAACAACCCCTCACGGTTAGTGCAGGCTGGGCACCTTGGTGGGGTCTATAGAGGAGGGACATTTGCCTGGTGAACCCAGGTCTGAGCAGTGTGCAGTTCCTAAAAGATGGAGCAGAGGCTCAGTTGGCAAGGCAGATCCATTTGATTTCAGCAGTGTTAAATAACTTCTATGAACAACTGCTTTGTTTGGAAATACTGCTCTGCACATTGATTTGGGTCCAGTTTTAAAAGGTATCTAGATAGTGTAATTGTAGATCTTATACATGCTAACTCATTTATCCTAGTAACAGATATAAGGGGAGACAACAAACCACAAGAACCAGTTCAGGGCATCTGAGATTTTTACAAGTATTCCAAACAGAAGTAACTTCTGTATGAAGTTCAAGTGAAAACTCTCACATCTGAATATCATAGGCACATTATTTTACTCCATAGATGAATGTAGAGAAAGTAAAAATAACCACTGCTCCCTCATGGATATAAATTGGGTGCTGAAAAATTCATGTATCAGATATGATGATCTACATGAAGACTTTATGCTGTTCTCTACATGACAAAGATCAGTAATGGGTGAGCGTTGAAATACAATTACAACATGAAAATGTAATTAGGTAATTTTAAGACTGCTTTTGCTGGTGGTCGTTACTAATCATTGTTTATATTGTGCTTCTAATGTGCAGACTGCTTTCTGGCTTTTTTGTTGGTTGTTCTAAAAATAATGCTGTGAGATTAACTATGTGCACAAAGATGTTTGATGATTTCATGGCTGAACAGAGACTGAGCCCAAATCTCTCCTGTCCTACTCTGCCTGCTAGGAAACACTGCCTCTCCATATCAGAGGCAACACACACTTGTAATGATAGCAAGAAGCATTTTGAAAGTTAAGAATAAAACAAGGCTAAATTTGCATTTGCCTATTCTGCTCCCGGTGTACGGAAGTGCGTACTACTGGGCTCAAAGGCAGTTGATCAGAGAAGGATGCTCTGGTTTATCATATAGTACCCTGCAATATGACAAAGGTAAGATACTATATTCATAAGATTTTTAGGACAGTCAAGAATTAAAATCTTAGAGGCTGATTTTCTCCAGTATATTTTTATCATTATGTTTTCAAAAGAGGCAGCTACTTCCAATAATCACTCATTTGCCTAGAGAGCTGTATTGTGCCAGTTACATGTAGGATACAATCCTATATGTCTTAGCCACCAGGGGAGCATCCTAGCAAGAGATTTATGCTCCTGACAAGATGTAGTCCTTCACCTCCAGTTGTTCCTAATTCCAGCAAAATGTCAGTTGGGTTCTTCCCATTTATACCTGCAAATTTGCACTGATACAGTTAAACTTCAGTCCACATGTTCAATAGAGGTAAATCATGTACCACAATCAGCCCTTAATTTAATGCTTCTGAAGGATGGATGGGTGAATGAATCTTCACGGTTCAAGTAACTGAAGCAATGTGTAGTACAAAACATCTGATTACTGGCTTTGAAAGACTGCAGCTTAATACCTTTGATTAAAAAGAGCATCAGTCATTCACACAGGCTACCTTCTTGACTTCAATAGACAAAATCAGCTAGCAGGACTAACTATCTTAACTATGTATTTCTTAGGACAGCTTTTTTCTTCTCTGCTAGTAAGTAAAGAAAGGCATGGTTATGAATATTAAACACTCAGACACTATAAAGGATTCTGTTGCCCTTGAATACTATATGGCTATTTTTACAGGGTTATATCACTATCCCCAGAAGAACATTATAGTCAGTGGATAAGTATTTAATTGATGGATGCCATGCTACGAAGTTTCAGACATTGCTAAGGGTCTGCCATGCCACTGACAATTGGAAAGAATGAAACCAAACTGCTGTTTACAAACATATTGATGTTAGGACCAGAAGCAATGGACTGGAGATTTCATGGACTTAGGACTTAGATGACAATCAAGAGGGTAATAATTGTAAGAGCAGCCAAGCAATAGGGCAATGGAACCTAAAGAGGTTTGGAATCTCCTCCCTTGGCTGGCTTCGAATGAGGCAGGATGAAAACTGCAGTTTCATCCAAAGCAAGTATTGCCTACTCATTAAAGAACTGCTAAGAGAAAAACAATGGCCAAACAACACTAATTAGTCATGAAAGCTAGCAGTGCTGTTAAGACAATGGATTTTATGTATTGTGCATTGCATCCTATATGGTGTATGTGAAGCATCAAACATTTCAAAATCTGAAATGGACAGCTGATGGAGAAAAATTGGTCTGGTTCATTCATGAAACAGCATCTTGAACTTTAGAATCTATCAGATGACACTTATCCCATCACAAACATTATCACCTACTGGCACATCAATCTACTGTTAAAGGCATGGCTCCAGTGGCCAGTTAAAAAGCTGACAACTGTATGATTGTCAGAGGCTTAAATAAATTATTGATGGTAATATAAGGCAACACCAAAATGGAACATGAATTAAAATCATATATTTGAATAAATAAGATGGAGGCATGAAGATTCTAATAGGTTTCATTAAAAATTCTCATGCTTTTTTATTTTTGGCATTTGGGGGTGGACTTTAATTTCCTTTCAGATCAGAATGGTTTGAAAAATGGGTGTGTGTTTCCTTTCCCTCTAAGCTGTGATATGATTCATTTGCTTGAACCGTATGAGTGGACTTAGATTGAATTAACACCTGGCATTAATCTCAACAAATTCATTGACTAAGAAATAACCAGTGTCATTATCCTTCCTTTTTTCTTTGTATTTTGATATATCAGAACAATTCTTTATAATTTCTGACCACAACTAATATGTTCACAGGGAAGTTCACAGGTTCAGTTGATGTAGTAGCAAAGTAACTATGGATTTGTCATATTTCATCTAGAGGAGACAATACATATGGTAGTTCTAGCATTCCATTCTACCTAGTGGTTTTCTAGCTTCAAGGATCATGCACAGTGGGATATCTATGACCCTAAAAGGACATATCATCCCCACAGCAAGGGGCAACCACCAGTAGCAAGAGCTGGATGGTTAGGAACCTTCCTTGTAATATTTTTGTATTTTGATAGCAATTTTGATAGCAGGGAGAAGTTCTCACTTTTCTCCTGCATCCCCTATTGCAATCATTTACTGTCTTTCACAGAATTTAATGAGACCTTCTGAGGAAATAAATGGTCTGCAATCAAGATGATTTTGGGTTCAGATGCTTGTAGCACCAGACAAAGGGGGTGACAAAGTTCAGTTCTACAAATTTAGCCCTCCATTCAAATAGTGTCCTAGAGTGTGCCTTATTTTCCTGCGTATTTAAATGAATAGCTGCTATGTATTCCAATGATGAAAAAAAAATGCTAGCAAGTAAATGGTGGGGGGAGCATCTTCCCTAC